GCGTACTCAGCCCACATAAGGAATCTGCTCCAATCCTCTTGATTTTGGTGGGAATAAGTGCGTAGAAAGCGGCTAAATCTCTTGGTTGAGACGTTCTGTATTGGGGGTGATAACAAGAGGTTAAATTGATGTTTACTTTGAAATTTTTGAAAAAGGCAGAAGCTACTCTAGATGTGAACTGTGGACCTCTGTCAGACACAATATCTTCGGGCATACCATAGAATCAGAATACATTATTGCATAGAAGTTCTGCTGTCTTCAGTGCCGTGGGTAATTTGGGAATTGGGATTAGTCTGCAGGCCTTGGAAAATCTATCAATGACCTTGAGGATGGTGGTATGGCCTTGAGAGGGAGGAAGATCTGTGATGAAGTCGATTGCTATGTGGGAGCAGGGGTGACGTGGAATGGCGAGTGGTTGCAAGAGTCCTGCAGGACAATGACGAGAGTGTTTATGCATGTTGCAAAGGGTGCATTTCTTGATCAAATTAGTGATGTCTCCTTTTAAGGTGGACCACCAATAACGGTTCTGAATGAGATCAAGCGTGCCTGTTATGCCTGGATGTCCTGAGCTGGGGTTAGAGTGGATCTTTTGAATGAGTTTTTCTCGTATTGGCGGGGGAACAAAGGTTTTATCTGCTGGGCAATCAGGTGGTACAGGGTGTTGGTTTAGTCTTGAGAGATTTCTGTTTCTACATCCCAAGTTATGGGAGCCAAGATGAGAGAGTCGTTGAGAATGGATTGGTCCTCCTCCAGTACAACCTCTTCCTCACAAAGTCGAGAGCGCATCTGCTTTGATATTCTTGGAACCTGGAATATATGTGACAGATAAATCAAAGCGAGTGAAGAATAGAGCCCATCTTGCCTGCCTGGGGTTTAGTCTTTTGGCTGAACGAATGTACTCTAAATTTTTGTGGTCTGTATTTAATGTAAATGGGTGTTTGGCTCCCTCCAACCAATGTCTCCATTCCTCCATGGCGATAATCTCGGATGCCCACATGGTAATTTTGTTCAGCTGAATTGAGCTTACATGAAAAAAGGCGCAAGGTTGGAGTTTGGCTGGGTCTCCTTGTCTCTGTGATAACACAGCTCCTATGCCTGTTTTGGATGCATCAATTTCTACAACAAAGGGTAGATTGGGATTCGGGTGACATAAGATTGGTGTTGTTGAGAAGCGGGTTTTTAGGTTTACAAATGCCCGATCTGCTGCATTATTCCAATTTAATTTTGTTTCACCTCTTTGATCAGTGAGCGGAGTGGCCACCGTGCTGAAATTCCTGATGAATCGTCTGCAGAAATTGCCAAACCCCAGAAATAGTTGCAATTCTTTCAGGGTTTTGGGCTTGGGCCAGTTGAGAACAGCGTCTAATTCACTCTCATCAATCGCCACTACCTCTGAACCGATAATGTATCCTAAGAAGGAGATGGAAGTTTGATGAAATTCACATTTTTCTAATTTTGCATAGAGTTGGTTCTCAAGAAGCATCTTCAGTACTGCTCTGACATGAGTGATTTGTTCTTCAAAGGAGTTTGAATAAATCAGGATGTCATCAATGTAAACCATTATCCACTGGTTCAACATGTCTCGAAATACCTCATTTATGAAAGCCTGGAAGACGGAAGGACAGTTTGCTAGGCCAAAGGGCATTGCGAGGTTTTCATAATGGCCGCTGGTGGTAGAGAACCCCGTTTTACACTCGTCCCCCTGTTTTATCCTGATGAGATTAAATGCATTACGTAGATCAAGTTTGGTAAAATACCGGGCTGAGCGTAATAGATCCAGGGCTGCTGGGACTAAAGGTAGGGGAAAGCGGTATTTGACTTTGATCTCGTTCAAACCTCTGTAATCGATACATGGACGTAAGCCTCTGTCCTTCTTACCCACAAAGAAGAAGCCTGCAGATGGGAAGGGGGGGGGGATGTTGAGGGGCATATAAATCCTTTTCTCAGCTCTTCTTAAATGTAAGAATTCATAGTTTCAGTTTCTGTTTGAAACAGAGGGAAAATTCTCCCACGAGGGGGTGTTGTACCAGGAATTAATTCAATGGAGCAATCGTACTCACGGTGAGGAGGTAGTTTAGTGGTCTTCTGTTTGTTAAATGCTTCGGCTAGGTGACTATAAACCTTGGGAATATCTGGGTTCACTGAAGATTCAACACTTGTAGATATGGCACTCAGCTGAATGTAGACAATAGAATGCAGACAGTTAACAAGATTTAAATCACTCCATCTTATGATCTCACCCTCTCTCCAAGAGATGTGGGAGTTATGGTTTTGCAACCAAGGCCATCCTAGGATTATAGCGTGCTGGGAAGAGTGTATGATATAAAACTCAGAATGTTCTTCATGGAGAAAAACTGTTTTAAGTGAGAGTTTGGGAGAGCGGTAATTTACAATTCCTTCCCCCAGGGGACATCCGTTTACCGCCGTGATTGCTAGGGGAGAATCACAAGAGGTTAATGGTATAGAGTTGTTAATGGCAAGTGTATAGTCCATGAAATTGCCTGCAGCTCCTGAATCAAAAATCGCGACTGTCTGAATTGTGGTATTGTCAAAACACAGGGAGGCACAGTTACGGTTTTATTGGTACATGAAGTAAATGTGGTTGAACTGACCGATAGTGTTTTGAGTGGAGGTTTATTAGGGCATTGGACCTTAACATGACCAGAAAGACCGCAATACAGGTACAAATTATTCTTGAAACGTCTTTCATGCTCCTCAACAGACAGCTGGGTGCGACCGATCTGCATGGGTTCGTTGGTACCTGGAGATTTAGATGTGACGTCCTGTGCGGGAAAGGGGGAGACCATTTTGGATGGTCATCGTGTACGGAGTAGATTATCCAGACGAATGGAGAGTTCAATGAGTTGATCCAATGATTTTCCTTCATTTCGGCAAGCCAACTCTGTCTGTAACTCGGGGTTTAAAGCTTTTCGGTTTGTGCAGCCAAAGTGCAAAAGTGTAAAGCAAATTCAGCTGCTGGTTTTTTTCCTTGTTGTATTGCTAACAATTCTTCACCTGCATTCCTGCCACCCTCAGGATGATCAAACACCGCACAGAACCTTTGGAGAAAGTCATTAAAGGTTGGAAAAGTGGGAGTACTGTCTGACCAAATAGCCGAAGCTCGGTCGAGAGCTTTTCCAGCAAGTAGGGACTATACATACTATACTATACATCCGAAAACATGTGTGGTTGTTGGTTGACAAACAATTTGCATTGCAGCAAAAAACCTTTACACTTAGCTGGGTCGCCATTAAATTTACCAGGAAACGCTAAGCGAGGACTGGAGGGATTTTGTGCCATGGCTACTGGTGGATTGATGGGAGAGTAATTGGCGGTGGGTTGCACTGGGGTGAAGACATTTAATCCCTGGAGGGCTTTGACCAATTCCTCTGTCAGTGAGGTGAGATAGTTACTGTTGATGCGTAGCAAGTACCTGAGCTTGGGTAGTGAGTTCGGTGGACAACACTTCCATGGCTGCTGGATGCAGGTCAGTCTTCTGTAATGAGAAGTCTGACACAGAGGGATCCATTTGCAGTACCTTTATTAAACACAGTTTAATAACAAGCACACAGTATAAACTGGTGCGTGAACTCATATGAAACACAGGCTTATAAGGTCGATGAGCAGGCGGCTGGCACTCGTTAGTCACAGTAGCAGGCATGAGTCAGGGGCAGGTAGCGGGAATCAAGATTGTTAAGTTCAAGGCAGGCGACAGGAAAAACAAGGTCAAGGACAATCCGGGTTGGCAACAGCAGATAAGTGAAGGGTACAGTGGAATGAACCGCCAACTTATCCAGCAAGTTTTTACTCCACTGCGGCACTGCATCGCCCTTTTGGAATGATATTCCTCATAATCTTTTTAACCAAATAGGTTGCTTAAGTTTTTTTATTTAACCTGTGATTAAACTATTTCTAAAATCCTCTTTAAACTTTCACTAAATTTCATCAACAAGCTCTTCTTGCTTGGAAAATCTCTTACTGTCACAATGTTTCTCCTTTATTTGGAATAATGGTAATATAAGCTCTTCAAATAAATCTTGATTCTTAGTAAATTGGTTTAATAGAGACATTAATCCTCTTTTAACACTGTTTGACAGTGCAGGGAATATCCTATCCTATGAACATTTCATGTCTACTTACAATTTCCCAATATTGTTTAGAGAATTGAATTCAGTTATTAAATATATCCCTGTAAAAATGATTCGACTTGTTAAAAATCATATTTGCTATAATCTGCTGTAAACCCAAAACTACATTTAGAAGGTGTTGAGTTGACTGATAATAAATGTACTAACAGACATATTCGTAATATTTATCAGAAGCAAAATAAAATCACTCCTAGAGGCACATTTCTCTGGAACTCTATTATAGTTAATATTAATTGCAAAAAAAAGCCTGGTTAACTCCCTTCAAATATTGTATTAATAATAAAATTAATGAAATACATTTTAAAATATTACATCAAATTTACCCAGTAAAATCTCTTTTATCAAAGCGCATTGAAATGGAGGATATCTGTGGATGAAGAGAGCCTTTGCCATTTGTTTTTTGAATGCAACATTGTAAAGAATTTCTGGAAAAATCAGCCAAATATATTTGTGAAAGGACAAAACTTAGTTATTATTTTACATTAAAATATGTAATTTTACATTATGAAAACAAATGCAACAAATGTCTTGAATATATTGTTAATCTCTTTATTTTATTGGCAAAGTTTTACATACACAAACAGAAATCTGCTAAATCTTCTCCCACATTAACCGCCGTTTTTTGTATTGAGTTTTTTTTTCTACAGAGAAATTGTTAAAAAAAACATAAAATCTGAGATATGCATCAAATATTATGACACTTTTTATAAATTCCCTCTCAATTACTAAAATCATCAGATGTAGAAATGCTGCACACTACTTTGTGTAATTTAATTTATTTTAATTTATTTATCTGTTTTATCTATTTGTTTTGTTTTTTGTTGACTTTTACCATTGTTGTATTATTTTTTGTGTGTTTCATTATTTGTGTTGTGTTGTGTGTTTGTTCCTGACAGTTATGCAATTAAAAACAAACAAAAAAGGTCACAGTGCAGTTAAACAACGCCTACTATCTGCAGCTCTAGATCACCCCCTAGCGGACACTCCAAGTCATTTTCTCAGGCAGTTATTCAATACGAAGAGCAACACATCGTTTTGTAAATCATATCCATTTTAACTCTTCTTTGTATTTATTTATTTTTAATAACTCCAATTTAATTAACAGTATATTTTAATGATCATATTGATCTTTAAACCACTACAGAGACACGATGCTTTCATCTGCAGTTACACACGAGAGGATTATCAGTGCAGCGACACAACAGGACAACTCCTGATCCTCTCAATGCCTGAGCTGTTCTCATCAGAGCAGTCACACATGGGGAATATAACACAAGCTGTGCTAGACTTCATGAAGAAGAAAGATTAGAGTATATATGGGAAAGCAGTCAGTTTATTTTCTACAAATCTACGTTGAGCTCTATGACACTGATTTGACCAAACTGTAAACATATTATTACTAAACACACTCCAGTACAGCAGGTGGTGGTATTAAGTTTTACGCTGCTCTCTGTAACCCGCCACACACGAAGAAGAAGAGGAAGAGGAAAAGGTCATCCAGGTATGTGTTGTTCTGTCTTTTCTGTGTCCAGTGTTTATACTGCTTCAGGTAAAATCACCCTAGTAAAATGTACCCCCGCAGGTGCTTTGATAACCCTGCAGCTGTTTGACTCTTCTCTGCTCTGTTTAGAGTGTTTGTGACGGATGTTTTTCACTGAACTCATGATCTGCCGCTCCTTCAGAAACGAAAGTGAAAGTGTTTAGTTGCTGTGTCGCCATTTTAAACAGACAGAATCCACCATTTACAACGCAGAACAGCTTTAAATCTTTAATGTCTTGACTAAACCTGTAAGCTTTATGTGAATGTGTGTATGATGTTATTATAATCAAACGGATGACGCTGTGATTCTTCATTAATTTACTCGTGATGAGCTTCTGGATTTGAGTGTCTCAGCTGCTGATCTATTCCTGCATTCAGCTGAATTATGAAGGCTGATCAATGACTGGAGATCTGTGATTGTTCATCAGTTTCTGCTGAAGATCAAACTCTTCAGGTCCACCATGGGTAACTCACACACTGCTGGAGATCAGGATTTGTCGAAAAGATGCAGGTATTAGACCTACACACTACATTCTCATATGATGATTGTTATTATTTTAACCAAAATAATTTTCGATTTGTTCGTGGGTAGTTTTATTTTTATTTGATAACGTGACACAAATAAATAAAAAAGAAATAAAGTGCTGTGTTAAGTGATTTTTAAATAATGACTGAATATCTGCTGTGTTGACTCCAGTGTGTGCAGCGCTGAACTTTAATCTTCTCTGTTTTAGTTCAGTTCATCAGAAGAGAGCAGAAGCAGAGCCCAGCTGTGTGTCTATGAAGAGTGACGCGTCTATGCATACACCAATAGCATTTAAGAGTGGAAACACACGACCTGCTGTCAGGTAGATCATCTCTACACACACATGATCACACTGCAGCATTTATATGATCCTGTGTTTCTAGAAGATCAGAAATTATTACACTTTATTCTCACAGTCCAGTCAGGACATTTTATTACAAGGAACAAAATACAGAGACTTCAACACAGGGTTCAAGGCTAAGGATTTTTTTCTAGTGGCCCAATCGGGCCAGTGGTTCAGATTTGTACTTGCCCTGCCAAAATGTTCACTGGCCCCACCCAAAAAAAAAAGTAAATAGCTATTTCTTAGTGTCAAAAGCCAAACATAATCGTATACACACACTTTGTTTAGCATAACCTTTCTTTAAATACAACTGACAATTTAAAAATGACTTGTTTACAATTGATGAAACTAAACTTGGAAAAAAATCTACATGTATATTGTAAGCAAAAATGTGCACTTTAATTTTGACACCCACAGACATCGTCACCACACATAAATCAGAGCGCTCAGACTTTCTCATGCATGGCCTCATTTCAGTTGTCAAGTTTTGTAAAAATCTGTCTATTAAATTAATTATTCTATTAAAAATGTGGGCTAGAATTATGCATTACAGGCTTACAATATAGAGAGGAATAACAGATGAAGCGGTGTTATGCCAAGAATTGCACCCCTGCCATAAAGTGCACAGCCTCTGAAATGTGCATCTATTACCTTAAATTGATTTGAAAATAATAATAATAAAGTTATGACAACTAATGACCGTGACTGAGGTGAGCTCCATGAATGTAACCCTTACAGAAGATATGTTTAAATAAATAAATACATTTAATTTAAATGCACTGATTAGATTAAATAAAGTGAATTGTTTAATGTGTGGTTTAGTTGAAAATGCCTAAGTTTAGAAGCGAGCTCATTACATCAGTCTATAATACAGTCAATATTTAGTATTTTTCTTTTATTTGTAAACCTAGTGATAAAATGAAGCCGGTTTTTGCTTATCTGGGACCCTTTCTGTATTACTGTAGTTTGGTTCTGAATTAAATCCGTGTATTGTGTCTCAGCTGGTTCAGAGAAAACACACATGGCTTCACTAGAGGATCTTTACACTCGCACTCATTGATTCTTTGTGTTGTTGTTGTTCCTGCAGTGTGTATAGAGATGATCAGAATGGAGACCTGCAGCAGGATTCACTCCAACCAGAACATGATGAACTTCAGAGAGTCAAAGAGCAGCACAAAACCAGCATGAAGAACAAGTATGAGAGATTATTTGAGGGAATCAACCATGGAGAGACTCAAACCCTCCTGAACAGCATCTACACACAGCTCTACATCATAGAAGGAGAGAGTGAAGGAGTGAATGAAGAACATGAGGTTTTACAGATGGAGAAAAGAGCCAGAACAAAACCCTCACAACACACTCCAGTCTACTGCAATGACATCTTTAAAGCCTCAGCTGGAGCAGGACATGAGGAGAAGATCAAGAAGGAGAAAGCCCAGATCAAGACTGTTCTCACTAAAGGCATCGCTGGAATCGGGAAAACCGTCTCTGTGCAGAAGTTCATTGTGGACTGGGCCGAGGGAAAAGACCATCAGGATGTAGATTTCATGTTTGTGCTTCCATTTCGAGAGCTGAACTTGATCAGAGATCATCAGTACAGTCTTCACAGACTTCTGCTGGACTTTCATCCTGAACTTGAAGATCTGGAGCCCAAGATTTATGAGCAGTGTAGAGTTGTGTTCATCTTTGATGGTCTGGATGAAAGCAGAATCACACTCAACTTTTCAGATGAGGAGAAAGTTTGTGCTGTGACTGAATCTTCATCAGTGGCTGTGTTGATGCGGAGCCTCCTGAAAGGAGATCTGCTTCCCTCTGCTCTCATCTGGATCACCTCCAGACCAGCAGCAGCCCATCAGATCCCCTCCAGATACATCAAGCGTCTGACAGAGATTCAGGGATTCACTGAGCCTCAGAAGGAGGAATATTTCAGGAAGAGAATCAGCGACGAGCATCAAGCCAGCAGAATCATCTCCCACATCAGAAGAGCAAGAAGCCTCCAGATCATGTGCCACATACCCGTCTTCTGCTGGATCTCCTCCACTGTGCTTCAGAAGCTCCTGGAAGAAGATGTGAGTGCAGAAATCCCTCAAACTCTGACTGAGATGTACATCCACTTCCTGCTGATTCAGATGAACATGAGGAAGCAGAAGTATGAAGAGAGAGATCCAGAGAAACTCCTGCAGGCCAACAGAGGAGTGATCCTCAAACTTGCTGAAGTGGCTTTCAGACAGCTGATGAAGGGCAATGTGATGTTCTATGAGGAGGACCTGATTGAGAGCGGCATAGACGTCACTGACGCCTCCGTGTATTCTGGGATCTGCACTGAGATCTTCAAGGAGGAATCTGTGATTCATCAGAGGAAAGTCTACAGCTTCATCCATCTCAGCTTTCAGGAGTTTCTGGCTGCTTTCTTTGTGTTTTACTGCCATTTAACAAAGAACAGAGAACCGCTGAGGGTGATTTATGACCATTTAACAGAGAACAGAGAACCGCTGAGGGTGATATTCAGTAAATATTCATATGATCAATATCTACAGTCCAGCTCTGAGGAGTCTCTGTATGATCTGCTCAGATCAGCAGTAGATAAAGCTGTCAGGAGTAGTAATGGTCATCTGGATCTGTTCCTGCGGTTCCTGCTGGGCGTCTCACTGGAGTCCAATCAGAGACTCTTCCAGGATCTGCTGACACACACAGAGAAGAGCTCAGAGAGCATCAGGAGAATCACACAGTACATTAAAGACCAGATCAAGAGAAATGATGATCTCTCAGCTGAAAGATCCATCAATCTGTTCCTCTGTCTGCTGGAGGTGAAAGATCAGACTCTGGCCAGAGAGATTCAGGAGTTTGTGAAATCAGACAAACACTCAGAGGAGAAACTCTCTCCTGCTCACTGCTCAACAATCTCCTACATGATTGAGATGTCAGAGGAGCCGCTGGATGAGTTAGACTCTAATAAATTCAACACATCAAATGAGGGAAGACGGAGACTGACAGCAGCTGTGAGAAACTGCAGAAGAGCTCTGTGAGTATTCATTGATTGATCACAGAAGACACACATCAGTCTGCACTGAAGACTCAGATCAGTTTAGTGAATCACTGCCCTGCTTTAACAGAAAATCTTTAGCTGGCCATATCGTCCCCCTGTGAGATCGCTGATACACCATATTACTGCATGGGGACGCGGCGGCAGTGTTCTGTTTCCTTATTTGCTCATTTATTTCAGCTTTTCTAAACGTATTTAACAAACTTTTCTTGACTTTTTACTCACACAAACAACATTTGTACTTATTTAATAATCTACTTCATTTGCTTTACAGTTTATCCTGGAAAATAACTCAAATCCCTGTAAATCCCTGTGCTCCTCCAGCTGAATAGGACATTTGTTGATGTGTATTTGCTCAAATCTAACACAGTGTTGCTCTTGGATAATTGTGTTTGTTTTCTGATCAGAGAAATAGTGTAATTTTAGACACAGTATTGCCGTCTCGCCGCAGACATGCCTCTAATATTACATTTACTGTAGGCCTAAACACTAAACTTTACACTGAGCTCAGTAAAATGCTCTCTGATTAGTTATTAATAATCTGTTCAATAATTCAGTACAGTCATATGAATGGGGAAATACAGCTTTAGTTTAATGTAGATTAAATAAATAAAAAAATAAAAAGATATTTCTAAATGAATTAAACAGGCTTGTTCTGAGGCATGAGGGTGGTATGAGGGCCCGATGTCCACAGGTGGGGGTTGCAGCCCAACACCATGGTACAACACCATGAGGTAGCCTGACTGCCATTAGGTACCGAGATGAGATCCTCAGACCCTTGTGAGACCATATACTGGTGTGGTTGACCCTGGATTCCTCCTAATGCAAGACAATGCTGGACCTCATGTGTCTGGAGTGTGTCAGTAATTCCTGCAGTTCACTACAGTTTTGAGTGTGACTCCTAATCCAGTCCTCCATGGGTTAATACATTTGATTTCCAGTGATCATGTCTGTGTGATTTTGTTGTCAGCACATTCAACTGTGTAAAGAGCAAAGTATTTAATAAGAATATTTCAGTCATTCAGATCTAGGATGTGTTATTTTAGTGTTGCCTTTATTGTTTGAGCAGTATATATATATATATAGTTTATTTCCAGTGTTGCTTTTATCACTGTAGACTGAACTCATGAACACTCAACACTGCTCATTTCTCACTGCTGATTGTGTTGCTCTTTGTCCTCTACACAGACTACAGGGCTGTAATCTCACTGTTCAGTGCTGTGAGAGTTTGTCTTCAGCTCTACAATCCTCAAACTGTGTGCTGAGAGAGCTGGACCTGAGTAACAATGACCTGCAGGATTCAGGAGTGAAGAAGCTCTCTGATGGACTGAAGAGTCAACACTGTAAACTGGAGACACTGAGGTAAAATAGAAACATTTCCATCAAATAAATGCTGCCACAAATGACTTTTCCATTGTGAAATGTGTAAAGTGTAAAGTCTGATGAGGTAATGAGCATATGCTGTGATGTATTTTATTTCTGTTTATTTATTGTGAATATTTCATATTTAATGTGAAGTCAAATATGAGAAACCCTGTTTATATCAGATATAATATTGCTCTTCAGTGTCATTTCTGCTGAAATGATCATTGATTGGTGTTCTTTGGTGTTTTTGGGGCGTCTCTAAATGAGCTGTGTTTCTGCAGATGTTCAGCCCATCACTGAGTCTCTTTATTTACTGATGTTCATGTGTGTAAAGTTATATTCAGTCAGTTTTATATTCATTTCAGGAATATTATTGACTAATATGAAGATGTTGATGTGATTTATTTGCAATACAGTTTGTAAAGTCATATTTTCTGTCTGTTAATATTATATGAGAGTCTTGCTTTCTTTAACAAATATGAGGATCTGAATGGATTTGAAATATCAGAAATATAAGAACAGAAATAGCAATAAATAAATCTGTCTGGCCGACTCATTTTGGTCAGAGATCTTCTCTTTTTAAAGTTTATGTAATAATGAAATACAAATGTTTGATCTTCCTCCATGTGACCATTAAAGCAACTCTGAAGAGTTAAAGGAGTCTTTTCCTTTTCCCTATGAGGAGAAATCACTCATTATAGACACTTCAATAATTACATCACACTCACACACAATAATACAGTGTCTTTTACTGTCCTCTACACAGACTACAGTGGTGTAATCTCACTGTTCAGTGCTGTGAGAGTTTGTCTTCAGCTCTACAATCCTCAAACTGTGTGCTGAGAGAGCTGGACCTGAGTAACAATGACCTGCAGGATTCAGGAGTGAAGCTTCTCTCTGATGGACTGAAGAGTCAACACTGTAAACTGGACACACTGAGGTAAATGATTCTCCACTCTACAGATACAGTTTCATATTGGGTTACCTGATGTGGAGCCCCATTCAGTGGATTGACAGAAGAAAAAAACAAAACATTTACAGGGTTGTGATTTTAATCATAGCTTTAATAATGTATGTTCATCTATAAATATATTTAAAAGCTTTACTTAGTCTATTATGAAATGTTGCACTTTCAGAGCTTCTCTTTTTCCAATATACCCAAATGTGACTTAAAGTTAAAGGAATCAGTTTATTTTAAGGATCTTTATAATGAATTACCTCTGAATTATTTATTCATATTTTATATTTTTATATTTATATCTGTTGTGTCCTGGTGAAGTTTAGACATGCTCTGCTGTTTGTTCAGTTTGCAGTTTCTTCTAAACATATAAAAGTCTCACGACACTCTTAATATTATCTAAACCAGTGGTCCACAACCTTTTTCTAACTGCGGACCGGTCAACGTGAATCCACTGTGTACTCATATGGAACTTTATTAGCACATTGCTCCAACATTACAATGCTATTATAACATTAGGAAGTAATAACTTTATTAACACATTGCTCCAACAATATAACATATTATAACATCAGTGACGCTAAATCAATGGGAGCCCTGAGCTTGTTTCTTTGCAACGAGATGGTCCATAGAAGGAAGATTGCTGGAAAGAGCGCGTGCACGTCTAGAACGTGCTGACGTGAGACGTCTGCTTTAGCCAATCAGAACAGTCAGACGCATTCACGTCCGCGCGGTTTATGAGAATAAAAGCCTTTGAATATTTTTCCAGACACATTTAGCTGCTAGAAATTAGTCTCATAACGTTTATATGTTCCCTTTAATGCCAACCGTATAAATAATTATCGATAAGATG